AAAAATTATAATTAAAACATAGTACTTGAACCATGAGGTACAACATTAATGATATGATGAGATTACTTTTCACTCTTCTAAACATAAAAACACTTGCACAAAAGTCCAGTTGTAACATCTCCGGGTGCATTTGGGGCGACAGTGTGGTGATGGTGTGGCATCGCACCGCATCGCACCGCGTCTTGCTTTTTAGGGTTTAGTAATATTATGTTTTGCCTACTTTTTGAAAAATAGAGGTAGAAAGTTGTGTTCTATGATCTTAAATGTCGTGGCTGCCTGAAACCTACACTCACAGCTGATTCTTCAAATAGTATCTACTAGAGAGAACCTTAGTCACCATTAGTACTAAATCAAACTATTCATCCCAAATCCTTGCCATTTTTACTCCACAACTACCATCTTCTCAAACTCCATTACTATCAACAATATTTAGCATGGCGGAAGATCAGTCGGGGGAGGCCTAACAGACTCCATCTTCCCAACCCCATCCTCCACCCAAAACACCATTGCCATCCCCCATTCATGGTGTATCTCCATATGACAATGCATCAACCAAACCCCCGGATTATTCGCCACAAATCTTATCACCGTCCACCCTCCTGCCGGAATTCCCACTGTATTCCTCTTTGGAGGATCCACCATATTCAACTCACCCCCATCCCTCTCCATCACAAATTCCCCAATCCCCCTACCCATCACATAAAAATCATACCCATGTAAATGAATAGGATGCTCTTCCTCCAACAGCAAGCTGCTTCCCTGCAGCACCACCTGAACCACAGATCCATATTTGATCTTGTAGATCTTCGTCCCCTTTACCGTATGGTTAAATTTCATAGCAGGAGAAGGGGGGAAATCAGATGTGAAAACACCAACCTGATCGAAGTACGCTGCTTCAAGAATCGAATTTCTTCTCGGAGCCACGAAGGAAACATCATTCATGCTCGCGATTACTCTTTGCCCAACCAAATGCAGATCAACAACGATGGTTAGATTTTCATCAACGGGTTCGGGAATCTTGACTCGATTAGGGCTTTTGAGTTTTGAGGTGAAATGGAAGGCGGAGGATCGATCGAGATTGGAGGGGAGGAAGGGAAGGAGGGGATTGGAATGGATGTTGGTATCGTAAGTGAGAATGGCGGTGGTGGTGTAGTTGCGAAATTGAGGGATCGGAAAGGAGCTTTCGAAGCGGTGAGCAGC